TATCAATGGCTCATTCACTAATGTTAAGTAATTCTGTTTGCATAAGAGTGTGTAAATGGCTCATTCACTGATGTTAAATAATTCTGTTCTGTATAAGAATGTATAATTGGCTCATTTATTAATGTTAAGTAATTCTGTTCTGCATGAAAGTGAATAAATGGCTCATTCACTAATGTTGAGTGATTCTATTCTGTATAAGAGTGTATAAATAGCTCATTCACTAATTTGAAGTAATTCTGTTCTGTATAAAAGTGTGTATATGACTCATTCACTAATGTTAAATAATTATGTTCTCTATAAAAGTGTATAGATGGCTCATTCACTAATGTTGAGTAGTTCCGTTCTGTATAAAAGTGTATAAATGGCTCATTCATTAATGTTATGTAATTCTGTTCTGTTTAAGAATGTATAAATGACTCATTCACTAATATTAAGTAATTCTCTTCTCTATTATAGTGTATAAATAGCTCATTCACTATTATTAAGTAATTCTGTTCTGTGTAAGAGTGTATAAATGACAGATGTTTTTAAGTTTGAATGCACTTGATGATGAAAATCATCCATCCTTTCAGATAACACTTTTGTTAACTCTGGCACATTTTCTGGCAACTCCTCGTAAGGTGGTCATCCTGTTACCAGGTCCATTGGCAACCAAAGTTCCAGACCAAACATCATTTTGCTGGTGTGTATTGAGTGGCTTCATGCTCTGCTGCTCTATAGGCCATCAACAGTGGAGGGAGTAAGACATCCCAGTCATCTTGGCGGTTATTACAAAACTTTGCCAATTCCTGTCCCAGTGTCCAATTGTACTTTTCTACCATTCCATCGGACTGTGGGTGAAGTGGCATTGTCTTAGTCTTTCGTATGCCAAACAACTTGCAGCATTCATGGAACACAGCTGATTCAAAGTTACAGCTTTAATCTGAATGCAGTTCATATGGCATACCAAATCTGAAGAAGAAAAATCACTAACAGCCGAAGCTACAGTTGCAGATTCCTGATATGGTATTGCATATGCCTCAAGCCACTTGGTGAAATAATCCATCACCACACAAATGTACTTGTTTGTAGCTCGAGTTTGGGGCAAAAGATCAGAAATGTCAATGGCCACTCTTTCCATTGGTGTGCCAAATTGATATAACTTCATTGGAGCACATCCCTTATGCTTGGGTCCCCTTTTAGCACAACATGTACTGCAGGTCCTGCATCATTCTTCCACATCTTGCCTCATACCTATCCAGTAAAATCTCTGCTATAGGTGACTCAATGTCTTCTTAACTTTCAGATGACCTCCTATTAAACTATCATGGGATTGAAGCAGCACAACTTCCCATAACTTTCTCAGTGTAACCGTTTGCCTGGTTGTCACTTTCAAATTGCCATTTCCCTTCTCCGGAGAAGAATACCATCTTCAAGCTTCAACTTGTCCCATTGTGCCCAATTGTTTTTTGTCACAGGGCTTAAGCTAGACACCTTCTCCCAAGCAGGGTGCAAAACACTTGCTTGTTGAAAATCAATTATTGGCTTCAAATCTTGGTCTTTCTCCTGCTATGCTTTAATATTTATACCTGGTTCCACTTCTCCATCATCAACTCTTTCAGTCACTTTGACTTCAGCTTGACGGCACCTGGTTAGTTCAACCTTTATTTTAACACTTACTGGAATTCGGCCTTTGTTGTTCTCAAACGTCATTTTGTCAAAGTTAACTACACACTTCCTTGGTAGTAAGTTGTCCAACCCTAAGATGCATTGGTCTTCAATGTCAGCCAAGTATACATTGTGTCTGTCTTTTATGCCCATGAGCTCAATAGTTACCCACATTGGTCCCCACAACCTTGCATAATATCCTGTCACACAACAGAGCTTCTGTATGGCTTCTGGTACTCCTTTGTGGGTCTGGATGATGCTTCCTATTGTTTGGGGCTGATTAGGTCGATGGCTGATATATCCTCCTTGTGTAAAAGACAGTAAATCATTCTTTAATGAATTTAATTTGCTTTGCAATTTACTAATCTTTTCCGTTTGTTGTTTTTGTTTCTTTTCTTTTTCCTCCAACAATTGCTGTAATCTTTCTTGTTTATTTTGCTGTTCTAGCTGCCATTGTTGCAGGTTTTCTTGCCACTATTCTCTTGTTTTACTTGTTTCTTTTGCTGTTCTTGTATTGCTGCCATCTAATCTGCTAAGTCATAGTTTGATTTTCTACTTCTCATTTCCATCTTTCTTTTTTCCATCCCACTTCTGACAACAATTTGTTAGGTATCTGCTTGTTTGATAATTTCCCGTAAAATTTCTTCTCGTGGAACTTCAGTGATGCAAGTCCTTTCTTAAATAAAACTAGTTTATTCTTCCTCAATACAACTTTGATATTATTCT